TTGCCTAGATATATACCTATTCGCTCTAGCCGCAGCACCACCAACCAACGCACACACACACACGTGCCATTATGGTGTTCACGCGATGATGATGATGATGGTGATGATGATAAGTGCGGTATACGCACGATCGAAATTATGCGCGCGATATAATAATAAGCCCCCTATATAGCTGACTTTTTTTCTCATAACGCTATAATACGCTTGAAAGACGCGGAAGAGCAAGAGTGGAAAAATCTTTATTTCCGAGGTGAAATTTCGGGATATATAAAAAGCTCTCCGCACTGCGCACGCGACTTTATTAGCAGCAGCAGTTCGACTTGGCAGTTTTCTCGAAATACGTATTACATTCGGCTGTGCGCGGAGTTACGATGATTGGATTTTCCTTTTTTTTTCTTCTTCGACTTATCGACGTAAACACACACGTACGGATTCTTTTTCATTTTTTACGCGATTCAATTTACTTCAGCTCACGAGAGCATGACAGCATATATATGATATAGAAAATTATACCACGCACGGATGGATCGTTTCGCCGCGTTGACGATCGGGGATCTAAGCTAGGCGACGAGGAGCAGCAGCAGCAGCTTGATTAGAAAGCCACAGCCGCTGCTGTTGCTGAAAAAATCAACGTCGGAACGAGAGACGAATTTCTCGTGTGTGTATGTGTAATGATATGTACATGTGAAGAAAGCATGAAACGGATCGCGCACGTGTATGTACCTTAAGAACGTATATGTGTATGCACACGATAGAGTATATTCGATTTAATTGTGGACATAAAAGAAAAGCGGGGCTAAGCTTAGAGCTAAAACTAATCCAATTAACGATGTTTCCTCCCGATGGCTGCTTCGTAGATACGCTCATTGAATATAAATGCGGAGATCCTCTCGAAATTAAATAAGGTTAATTCGCGCCATTCGTACTCATTTGGCACGTGGAAAATACCATCCGAATTATTGCCTCGAATACATCGCAAAAGCGGAGATCTTTCGATCGAAAAGAAAAGAAAAAGAAAAAAAAAAGAAATCACCGTCATTATTTCATATACCAATATATAAGATTTTGTATTAACGATCGGAACGTACCGTACCGGCTCTTTGAAGCTTAGACGCTATTTTTCAACCCCCCCAAATTATATTTTGATAAAACACCTCGAACGTAAGTATAAGATCGGTCTAGGTAAAAGCTGTATAACCCAATATATAATATAAAATATATATCGCACGGGGTACGAGAGCTAATTTTTCGCTCCAAGGCTCTGCCTGAAGTAAATGGCCCGCACGATTAAATCGGGGCTATATAGTAGACGATCGCTTATGAACCATCATCATCGTCGACTCGTTATATTTCGGCGCATCGAGGTGTTTCAGTGCGCAATTTACGCACGCGCTTAATTAATTTCTCTCGCCGCTATACTATTATTACCAATATTGACGAAAATCTCCTGTTTCGAGGAGATACACAGCTGATACAAGTTCGAGAAAGTTTTTTTTGTTCGCATCATTCATTCGCCAGTCGCAACGAGTTAGTGCATATAGATAATAACAATGATAGTCGTCCTCGGTCAGGCGGAAAATTGCACACGTATATATATCACCGCACGTTCTGTGTGTGCAGCCGTGACATTATACATTGTCATACAGCCCGATCGTGGAGTTCCTCGCACTCGCACTCTCTGATAATAATATTCAGTCATTTTCTCGCGCGCGACCAAAGTAGGAGGAGGAGAAAATACTTTTGCGATGGCTTATTACAGATAATGCCCGCGACGCTTTCTTTTCTGCGCTATGTGCATGCGGCTTATTGTTTAGCGGCGACAAATTCGTACGTGTATACTTATAAAATACCGTGTACAAGTATCGCGCGGTCGACGAGGACGAATTTTTTCAGCTTATCGTCGAAATGAAAAAAAACTTTCTATTTCTTTCTTAGCGTGATTGTTGGGCGCTAGGAAGCGAATTGTTGTTACGCACAGTGAGGAGGATAAAAAAAGAGGAAGGTATCCCCGAGCTTGCAACGGTACGCCTCCTCCTCGCTGTAGCATTTCTTGCCGATTTCGTGCTAAAGAAGAGTAGCTAAAAAAGCAAAAAAAATCGAGAAGAATCTCCGCGGCGATCTTATAGCCAGCCACTACCGAACGAACGAAGAGGAGCCTCTATGGTGTATACAGCAACAACAAAATCTTCGCAGAATCTCCATTTTCTCTCTCCTCCGCGGCTTATAGCGTTGTGGCTACAGCAGCAGCAGTAGAGTACAAAACAGCAGCAGGAGCGCGAAGGATACGCTCCCGTGAGCGCGTGCATCGGCGCGCACATACATAGAGGCACGAGCTCGGCAGCAAAAGAAGCATCCGTTAGAATTCTAAGTCTTCTTGTGCACGGGGGCTCTCTCTCACTCTTCTATACACTCGCACATATACGCGCGCGCGCAGGGATGTACCGTTTTTCAAGGTCTCGCGCGTGTTTCGCGGATCGCTGCTGCATATAGCTTCCTTTCGGAGCTGCAGCTATTGTATTCCGCTGCTACTGCTGTATACCATGACAGCCGCAACTTTCGTCATACGTATACCTTTAGCCACCGCATACCTATGTGGTGGCTATAGGAGCGAACGAACAACAACAACGACGACGGCGAATGAAAAAATTATTATTATTCGCGTTCGATGCCTCGTCGATTATCGAGAGTCGCCAGAGCTAGCATAGGCGCAAAATAACAGCATTATATCTATCGGACTTTACCGATCTCTGCACCGATCGCTGCACTGCAGTTAAAAGCTAAACTGAGCGCGAGCACGGGGGGGCTACCGTATACGTACGTATGTACGTGTGTATCCTTCAAGGAAGTCGTTATTAATCGTCGGCGACAGGAAAAATACGATTATCATTGTGTGGAACTGTGTTTCAGCTGCTGCTGCTTATGTTCTAGCTGGTTGCCGTTGTTGTTGTTATTATTGTTATGGTATGCAGCGTGATTAGGACGAAAAAAAACCCCAAGCGGCAACTGCAACTGCAGGAGTCATTTTAGCCATAAGCGCGCGCGCGCGGGGCAAGCACAGGAACGCTACTATGCAGGAACGTCGCGCTTACTTGCCTCGCGGTATTATATTACAAAATCGCTCATAGCTATGTAGCAGGTATGTATAGTAGGCATGTATAGCGTTGTATACGAGAGCACAAGTGGTATATAAAGATATAGATACAGCTGTGAGCGCAAAAAGAAACAAGTTGCGGTAATGATAAGACTCCAACGACGGCGGCGCGCACGACCTCGAATAACTAGCGTTAATAATTCTTTTCTGTCCCTCTCTCTCTCTCTCTCTCTCTTTTTCTCCTTTTCGATTCATTTGTGCGCCTTTCAAAATATCTTTAAATAATATTATCACGGCCGTACACAAGAGAGAAAGAGACAATGGTGCATACGACGGCGACATTCAAGAAGAAAGAAAGAAAAAAAACTCGTCTCTCGCGCTGCGTCTCATTCATGAAAATCAGAGTCAACTTTCGATTTCTCGACCTGTTGCCGCCTGTTGCGTGGGTGTTTTAAAAATATACATACGTACAGAATTCAACCGAATGATGATTCAAGCTCGCGCGAATTATAAGAGCGAGTGAAAAAAAATGCACGTCGATCGAGCAGCCTTCTGAATATTAATTCAGCGGCAGCAATAAAATTATATAGTGTAATATAAATACCGATCAGGGTCCCTCTGTGTAGGATACGCACTAGTGGTACTCGTATCTTTTTATTTTTTTTTATCAATTTTTTTATTCCACACATTACATATTCGTCAATCAGTCCGCAGGCGTTGTATACATTCGGATGTAAATATGATGGAAAAATCGCGCGCTCGTCCGTTTCTTTAACGCAAAAACTTTCACCGCCGCCGACGACGACGGAAGTATCTATTTCTCCAGGGAGATTACCGATCCGCTGCCTTGTGGCCTTATGCATTACACACACACACACAGCACGGTGCGGTTCTGTGTATATTATTACACACGTGCAGAGATAGAACACAGAGAGAAATTGATTTGGCAACGCATAATAAGTAACGATCATCGAAGAAGAGAAAGACGAGGCTTCTTAGTTCTTCTTCTTTTTTGTCGCAAGGATTGCGTAAGAGACGCCGATCATTTTTTTTTTTGTTGCAATTCATCCGGTCCGGAAGTATCGATCTGTTTACTACGACACACTTTTAATTTTTTTTCTCGCTTCTCTTTTTTTTGCACAACGTAACCTCGATGCTCGCGTCTCTCTGTCCGCGTTGGAGGTAAGATCCGGAGATCGTTATCGCGCCACGGATTTTGTCACACACCTTTTCTTCGAGAATCACATTATCTCGGCTTATGTCACACGTGTGCGGTATTTAACGGGGGTTTACGAAGAAATGTGTCGGGTTGCAGTGCATGTCGATCTGTGCATTTATATCCGTGTGTAAAAGTATACATATAGCAGAAGTAACAACGACAACAGCAGCAGCAGAAGCTAGTAGTAGTAGGCCAGGTGTCAACGAACGGTTCCTGTGTACATTTATGCCATGTGTACGACACGTCCTGTCTGCAGGATATCTGCACGAGGAATTCATTTATAGTACTTGCACACGAAGAGAGTAGAGGATAAATTTTGACGCTATGTGTACACGCTATAATACACGAGAGGAGCAGCAGCAACGGCAACAGCAGCTACAGCAATACAGAGAGAGAGAGAAGAAGGACACAGCGTATAGAGCTCTCAGCTAGCTAGCCTCTAAGACCATGGGCAAGTATACACAGCCCACAAGGGGGAGAGAGATAGAGCGTGTATAACGCGCCTGTTGCTGCTGCACACAGAGTGCAGTAACAGCAACTGTCACTTTTTTCACTTTGTGTTTTGTCGCTGCTTCGCGAGCGCTTAGACAACGCAACTTTCAGGCGTCAAAGTCGTAGCGAAAATTGGCCCGACACGGAATTATTTTACGCACTGACAAGAGCTACACTGACAACGGTGTTGGTCCGTACCTTGTTTCGAGCAGGCAGACGACGACGACGATGACGGCGATCGTCGATCGACAGTAGTGCAGCACATGAACGACAACAACAACACAGAGTCACACAAAAGACACTGACACTCGGAGACACACCGAATTTCTTTTTTGACGTATTATATAAAACTGCACGTGTATAACGCAACAACAACAACAACAACAAGAACCGATCTCTTCTCTCGGTCGCGCTCCCTGCGCTCCGAGTGCGTTTGTATATGCGTGTACGTAATATTACGCGCTCTCTCCTGTGTGTAAATCGTTTTGAGCTCGCTCGCGTGTGTTGTTTCACCGTTGGAGTTGCGATCGCGACTGAGTAGGCCCCCTTCTACCGTGGGCAACTTTATCGCGGTGAGGCACCGCTGACTGCAAGAGAGTTTACCTTCTCTCGAGACATGTACACACACAGACAGACACAGAGCACGGAGTCGAGTCGGTCGCGCTTAACTATCTCCTACCTCTACCTCTACCTGTGCCAGCGGCCCCTAGAGTAAAATTGTTGAAACAGTCCCCGTGTGTGCGCAAAAGCCACAGCGAGCTAATGCACCGCTGCTCCGATCATACACACATATAGCTATACGTATACTTTCTAGGCTCCTCTGCCCGCGCGATGCGAAACGTGTGCCTCGTGCGCTGTAGTTGTAGTGCACTGCACTATGCCCCCTTCCCCCCTCCCTCCTCGAGTGCGCGTGTATATCTATGCGCTCTACAGTGCATGTACACTAGCCGCGCGACCGATTCCGCGAAGATTTTTGTTACCGATCTCTCTTCGGACGCGAGGACCGCGCAGAAGATCGGTAAATAAATCGGCATTGTCAGAGTCGTATAACGATCGGTATAAAGCTCGAGAATTAAAACATCGCTCGCGAATGTAATTTTGCGGTGTAGCACGTCTTTATAATACAGTATAGAAGCGCATCCCCTTTACGCACAGCGACAATTATGCCTATTATTCGTTCGATCACGCGTTTAACGCGAAGATCTGCCATCGTATAGCAGACACGATCATTATCTCGTGCGCGGAAGGGAAAAAAGAACGTCATAGTCTTTTATAATAATAGACGCAAATAATTCGACCGCGCGTGCAAAGTCTTCCGATCATCCGCGATCCGTGGCTAACTCGCTACTATTACACATAGAAGCTGCCATTCATACAAACGCCGCTTTTCTCACGAGGCTCTTTGCGCGCGTCGCGTCGCGCGCATCAACTACGCCTATAAATGCGGCTTATAAATTTCATAACCGCAGACGCGACGCTTTTTTATAATAAATAATATATCTCTCTTCTGATGATAATATAGAACGGCAGCAGCAGCAGCGGCAGCAGGCGAGAATATTATTGTGTGACGCGCGCGAGCTCTAATCGCTACATTGTATTGTATAAATGCACGCGGCGCGACGATTTGTTTATTTTTTTTTCTCTCTCTCTCTCTCTCTCTTTCTCGCCTCTCTGTCACCTTTTTACACCGTGGGCAATTCTGGTGATTTAGCATTTCAGAGATTTTCAGCAGGGACTTAGCAGCAGCAGCCTCGAGACGACGTCGACGACGATATAATAATATTAGGATGATAAAATGTATACGCGCCGCGTAGAAGGAGAAATTTGGCATGTATGGCAAAAAAACCTGCACTGCAAAAGCACGTCGTTGCTGCATAGTTCTTGGAAGATATTTTGACGAATCCGAGCAGCAGGTTTTTGCGGGGCCACAGCGCCGTAAGTAGAGGTATCTGCCGTATAGAAAAAAAGGAGTCAGCGATATCGCGTAAATTTATATATAAAAATGCGCAGAGAGTCATGGTATTTCGATTGTTATGCACTTATACGCGTTTGAAATTATAAAATCCATCGGCACAAGGACAGTATATACTACAATACACGACCGGACGAGCGACGATTGCCGATCTCGTATAATATACACAATACTCGATCTTGCCTATACGAGTGAGCGTATAATATAATGCGCGTATATATATATCGTATTATAAGTATTATGTGTGCAAAGAACGACCACGACGTATAGTCGAGCGAAAGGTCGTTCTCAGCTCTTGCCGCGTGTGTGTAGGCGTACGCGGCACTCGTATAATACCTACATACATACGTATAGCCAAGGATCTTGGCCATGTTTGGACGAGACGGGACGAATTTCGCGCGCGGCAGGCTTATTAATGCGCCGCGCGATCGATGTGTGTGTGTGTGAGCTATGAGGCGTCTCTCGCCTCTTTCCAACTATTCTGCTGCTGCTGCTGCTGCTGCTGCTGCTGCTGATCAATATACATACATCATTATAATACGTTTTTTATATGTTACACGCCGTGTAAAATACTCGGATATATAGGTTCTATGCGCCAGCTGCTAATCGATTTACGTGTGTGTATGTGTGGGGCAAAGTAGAAAGAGAGAGACACGGCGGGGAATGCAGTTTCGACTTACGCAGCGGATAAAATAAATATAAATATATGTGTGTGTGTTTTTGACCAAACGACCAGTATAGTGTATAGATAGAGAGAATGACGCGCGACACAACCTTTTGCGGGCGCGCGGACGCTATTTATTCGCGAGGCAGACAGACAGATCGATTATGGGTCCGGCCGACGACGACGACGACGAAACTTTGCCTCTTTAAATTTACGCGTGTATTTATGCAGACTGTGCATTGAATTCCAAAATAATATAATACACGTATCGGCGCGTTACTTGCAGCAAAATGAATCACATCCGGTACACTGAGAGATTAAGTAATAATGCTCGGACCGCGACGCGAGTCACTTACACGCGCAAAAAACACACTGTATAATGTGCCTCTGCTATACACGGCACAGGTAGGTAAGGTATATATACGGAGTTTTTGCTGCTGCTGCCAAAGACGACGCTGCACCGCGCACACATGTGTAATAGCTTGTCATCGTCGATCATTGAGTAATATTATTATTACACGAGCAGAAAATTTTGAAGCTTAGCGAGAGATATCTCCTCGCGCAGCTTTCTTGTGCGCGTAAAACGAGAATGCGTATGTATTATTGCGAATTATTGCATCGACTTTGTATTATAGGCAGGCTGCTGCTGCGAAAGGTTCGCTGCATTATTTGCATTTTAAATCTGTCGCGTGAAAATTTATCGTGTCTTTCGCAATATTTCGCTACGCTCCTGTATAGCAGACACACACACACACGAGTGCCTATAATACACATGATTTTTTTCCCTGCATTTCGAGACAAATATACGACCTGCATAATAATATAGTAAAAAAGATCTCCTTTTTAAGAAATGAGCGCGTGCGTTGTCTGCCTAATAAACCATAAAACTCGGGAACATTAATCGCCGCCTGCGTTTGAGTCTGTATATACGCGAGCGCATATTATTATATCGTAGCCAACAACGCCACAACACGACACGACAACACCCTCGAAAATTCCGCAGAGCCATCGCGGCGCGAAACGCAACACGTGTAACTGGTTGTCTTCTTTTCTTTTTTTCTTTCCGACGTCTTTTCAGCTCCCTCGTTGCTAACAGGTAGCCGATCGTCAGTCGTATTGCTACTACAATCTTGCAAATGTACACTGAGAAAAAAATTCATTGATTCAATGAAATATTTAATTGTTTTTACCAAAGTTTTATTGCTTCAATCAATCATTTGATTAAATTAATAGTAAATAAAATATTAAATTAGATTTCATTGAATCAATGAATTTTTTTTATCAGTGTAGTGCCGAAAACATATTATCTAGTATACCATAATGTAAATCGATTTAAATACTAATCGAACATTATTTTGCTACTTGCGAGTTTACAATACTCCATCTGTTGGTAGAATCAGGAAGCTCATGATCAAAAATGAAACTTTTGGTAAATATTAATCGAACAATTCTTGCTTATTTGTACGAGGGTGAATTTATTTAAACTCATTTTTCTTTACATAAGTTAGTTACTTCATATCATGAAGATCAGTGATCATTTATACTAATCAAAAATTTGTTTAAACATTTGCGAGTTTACAATACTCCTTCCGTCGATAAAAGCAAAAGCTCATGATCTGGAATATTAATCATATCATTATCCTGTAAAATTACCTCATTTTTAAAATTGATAAACAACTGTAAAGTTTAACTAACTTCCACAAAAAATTAAAGTCTGAGAAAATTGATAAATTGAAAAAAATCGTAGAAAATTCAACAAAATATAAAGAAAACTCTCGAGCTTTACTTCTAATGGCTATGGATACTACTAGATAATAAAATCAGCAGAAGTGACTTGATTGAATCAGCCAGAAAGAGAGAAAAAAAATAAAAAAGTTGAGCCGTTATCTTAATTCATGAGTATAACATGAACGATCATGCAGGCCCCAAAAATAAAGGCGCTTGTCAACTCGATCGCTCGCAAAAAGGGACAAATTTGTATTCTGTCGAAACAACGTGTATACGATTAATTGATTCACGTATCTCATTTAGCTGGAGATCGACTCGGATAATTTTCAGCCGAGCGCATCCTTTTCGCCTTCTCCTTAATTTCTTTTTTGGGTTTAATAAAATTTTTTACACATTCCCTAAAACTGATTCGGGCGGTCGAATGCGTCAAACGACACATATATCTCGTATGTAAGATCACTCATACGTATACGCGGGGAAAAACATTCACGAGCATGATTCACGTCAGGATCGATAAAGCAAATATCTCGAATATAAATTTTCATTGTCCTATTCGTTTCTTTTTTCCCTTCCAAGTTTTGCACGCGCATACGTATAGCAGCAGCTCCAATATTCGAAGTATGTACTTTGTTTCAATGAATTTTTTTTCAATTCCGCGTAATTGCACGTCTCGGCGTAATGAGTTTTCAATTCGAAACGACGTTGTTTGCGGCGCGTTGACGCGGTTGAAATAAAGAATAAAAAAAAATGAAATATAAAATAAAATTGAAAAAGGTAATGGCTGGCTGACTGCTGCACGCGCGCGATTAGCACCTTAAACGCACTGCTGCTGCTGCTGCGTCGAGCGAGATTGGCTGACGTTTCCTCGAAAAAATTTCATATCGCACCGATGAACACGTTTATACTTTATGAATATACCGAAAAAGTTTTTACGTAAAAAATAAATCATCGTCTCTCTCGCTCGACTTTTTGCAATTAAGATCGACACCTGCATAATTTCATAGGGAATATACATCGTGCATCGGAATGAAAAAAAAGGAGATAGAGAGAAGAAAAGAAGTGGCCCGAGAGAGAGAGATAAGAGAATTAGCACACAGTGGAAGATGAAGATAAGACGAAGTGAGGCTGTGCGGAGGCTGCACTTCTGCTACATG